ACTGGCGGTAAATGGCGTTACTGGCCGCTTTACGCCACGAGGTAATTACGGATTTCAATCTCCCGGCTAATAAATAACGCGAAACAAATGCTCTTTACGCGAATCGATTCGCAACACGCGACCGTAAACCTTGATGACAGGGGCTTTGAAAGGGGCTGTCCGATTCGAATGACTCGATTTAATAAACTACAATTACCTCGCGTCGAGGTACATTGTTCAATACCCACGGTTTGATTCGTGCGGTTTAAAAGGAAATTATTTCAACGTGTTGACCGAGGTCATAAAGCTTGATGTAATTAAATTACCGAAAGAAGATCAAAGCGAATCCCGAGAGACGATAACGTTGCACGAGTTACGGGAAATGGCAGGTAGAAAGGTTAAATTGAAAAATGAAAACGATCCCGTTCGTTACAAAGGGACGAAATCACGAGGCGATGCGTTCCCGGCTGACAACAGTCCAATTAACAGCTCGCTACGGGAAAAGAACAGTCCCTTGGCTAGCGAAAGATTAATTTCCACGACAAAAGGTGCGGGATTCACTTTGCTGGCTGCTTTGACATAAACACCGGAGCGCGAACCGTGAAACGTCTATCAAAGAACTTGGTTAGTGTCACGCCTTTTATACTAATAAGAAGCCGAAAAGACTGACTCTGCGCGACGAGTCGTTTTCCGCTCGCGTGGATACGCTCGCAATTACGATAATTCACGGAACGACAAGGCTCAAGAGGTAGAGGGGAAAAACGCCGTAAACTTTTCGCGAATTTCTAATAACAACGAGGAACACGAGTCAGGCAAAAATGAGGGTGCACAGGCGTTTCGAAAATTACCGCGCCGGGCGAAGCGATTCTTCTCCCGAGTATAAATCGCGAGGAAATTCCGAGTAAAAACTTCGAGGGAATCTGAAAAAAAGCCGGACGCGGGACGAACGGGAAGAATTAGCGAGCGAGCGTGTTATCCAGGCGAGAAATTAGAAACGTCGGAAAATAGAAAAATTACCAGGTTCGACGAGACCGCGAAGCGATAAGCGCGACAGTGGAAACTTTGAAAAATCCTCGAAATCGCGAGGGATTCCTGGAACGTTTACAATAAACAGACTGTTGGAGATTAGTGTTTCAAAGCGAGACGAAGATGGAGGGAAGAAAACGAAGGAGAAGTCGTTCTTCGACTTCCTTTCCGTCGAACAACCCGCGAAATTGCCGCTGTTTGTCTAAAGTCTAAGGCAACAGAAATTCCGTTCCATCTTATAGGGGGTGGAAATCGAGGTAACGCGGTCATACTCGCCGCCATAATTTATTTCGCTACCAACATCCTTGCCGCGACTTTTCCGCGCGTCGCCTTTGCACCCGTGGATGAATTGCACCACGTTCGAGGCGTGCAACCACTTTTATCGTTAAACGTGCCACCGCTCTCCCTTCAACCCCGCACCCCCTGATCCGCCAAACTCATCGCTCCACGTCCGTCCACCTGTGCTTCATCTTTGAATTACATCGACTCTCACGGGAATTCCTCTACCACTTACACGCATCCTTCTTCTCCAGAGATGACTTTTTCATAACCGAACCTGCATTCGACCTTCCCGCAATTTTCCAGAAATTAATCAGCCTTTTCATCTCGACGATACGTCCGGAGATCTGATTAACGTTTCGCAAGAGAAAGGGCTTTCGGTTTCTACGCGATGGCAGCGGTAAGTTCGCGACGCGTACGGTTCCGGCGAAGTCGAGGAAACTCGATAGACCTCGCTGGAATTTCATGTCCCCGAAAACCGCAGCAAGTTTCGCGGTCGGTCCACGTATCCTTGGATCGTTCCATTCGTTAACCAACTTCACCCTCTCGTCTTCTATTCATGGTCTCTCGGTTGCTCGAAACTTTTCCTTCCCAAGGTTTGTTTTTCCCGCGCGTAAGAAACGTCGTCTAATTGCGCCCTTCTCACTATTTTTATAACGTGGGAAAATTGGAGCGATAATCTTCTTTCGGTACCCTTTGTCCCCTGCTCCTTCGAGGGACAAAGAACGAAATGAATTTCCTTTTGCCGATGTAACATCGAATTCTTCCGGTTCCTTTCTTTATCGAGGTTTCCAATACGGGACTGTTCGGGACGTTTCATCCGTGGAGCAACTTCATTACTCGCCCGCATTCCTGCCGCGATCTAACCAAAGAAATTCAGTGCGAAGAGGACAAACGATCCGGGCCGAAGAGCGTGCCTCCTCTGAAACGAATCGTTTTCTCGCCTCCGTTCCTTCATATTTTCTTTCTCGCGCTTTCCAAGCGGAATTCGTTCGAATGCCACGTCGACGGAGAATTTTCTCCCTCGTATATATTTATTTCCTTGCGTACCAGTTTCCGCGTAAGACGAATGCAGGGATGATAATGAAAATTCATGGAGGGAAACGTTTACGAAAAAGAAATTCAATGAAAACGAGCAAACAACGTAGGAGCGCGATTGTCGGACCGCGTAACGATCCATAATTAGCCCAACGCTATTTTCCATTACGCGAATCGGCTGTTCCGTCGGTGAATGATCACAGAGAGGGTGGAGGATAATTTAATCAGGGGATACTGAACGCGCAAACAGACCCATAAACTAACGCCAACGATCCTCGCGTCGATCGATACGATTACCACCGCTTCTCTGACCGGAAGAAGAGTTCCGGTCTATCCGATTAGAGTGGATTGCCGATCGGAGAATAGGTTGTCGTCCTGGATGATTTATAAATGAGCAGGGAACTGCCGATTGGCACGGCTATTACTTTATAATTGCTGGTAAAAGGAACCGCGTCGATTGGGATACGAAGGAAATTGGCAGTTATAAACGAACGCATAAAAGATGAGGCTATCGCGCCATATCACCGTTTACCATCCACGATCACGAACGATACGAGATATCGACGATCGACGGTATAACAACGTACAGACCATTTCCAATTCGAACCTGGCTGTTCGCAATTCTCGCGATCGATCCAGGCTTCACCTACACCCGCACATGCACGCGTGTGGCACATCGAACCCCCGTTTAAACACTCTGATAAACACGTAATTTTTGATTATGGGAAGAAAGAAATTTCGATTTTAGGATGAACCAACTGATTCTTTTTCGACGATATTCCCTCGTACGATGTGACAAGAAGTCTCCTCGACGCTGAACGTATTCCAAGCGGGACAGGATTGCAAGGGACGTGAGGAGAAATAAAGAACGACAAAATAGCTGCACGGATATCGAGGATTTTAGGAAGTCCAGAAGAGTTTAGAAAGCGTCGGAGAGCATACGATTTACTTCAAAGTTCTCGGCAGAGAGTGTACTCCGCGAATGAAGTGACGCGCAAGAAGCCAGAATTTACCCGAGGACGATCAACCAAATGTACTTTCGATAATGGTCCCACCCCGTGGAAAGCGTATGCGACGAGTTGCAAAAGTTTCGTTTCGAAGAGACTTCAAATTGTCGCTACCTTGCGTGGGTGCTTTCGAATAACGAACCTGGGTATTTTTGTCCTCGACGCGTTCAACTTTTCGAAAATTATTTAACGAAATAACGATTTATCAAAACAACCGAGTACGCGGCTAACGAAATTGATTAAAAATTTGATGGAAGCTTTTTACACCACTCGAACTCGATGTTCCCCAAAATATTGATCTCGGGGTTTTAATAAATCTACCCTTTGACCTGATACTTTTTTTTTTGCAAGCATTATGTACTTCAAACGCGACCTTTTAAAATCATTTCGAGAAACGTAGAGGAAGTGGAAGGAAATGTGTTTCTCGTTAGATCGAAAAAGTAAAAGATAAATAATCGCGCGATGGAAATCGATTGAAAAGGGAAGGGAAGAAAGGGTGAGAGGCGGGGAAAGGAAAGCATAAAATTTAACATTGTTCCTAAAGAGGGAGAAGAATGGCAAGCGGTGCAGAAAACGGGGACGCGACAATCGGTCGCGTCGGGCTTCGGGCCACTAGCCGCGCTCTCGATAAACCGCGTTCTACCGAAATTTCCAAATCCTAATTGCGAGGAAATGGTGTGTAACGACGTGAAATATTATCCGGAAAAAGGCGCTGACTCTTATTACTCGGCTGGCCGAGGAACGAATCTTTTAATCCGACGACTTCTTTCTCCGCATTTCACCGCACCTGCCCGGAAATCGCTGACCCGCCGTTTCCATTGCCAATCTGTTACGGCAGAGGCGCGGATCCAGCCGAGGGAAACACCAAGGGTTAAGGGAACGAACGTGTTTGCCTGCCCTTCTCTTCTACCTTCCCTTAACCCTCCTTGGAACGACTCGTAAAAACTACCACCTTTTGCTCTATCTTCCTAAGTGATTCGTTAAGTTTCATCGAAAGGATAAAAAATGGAACGCGTTGATTGAAAGTAGCTGAAGGTCCGACAGATTTCTCGCTACCATAGTTTCAGAGATAAAATTACGCGTTCGACGAAGGGGGATGAAGGGATAAGAAATATTTTGTCGAGCCAAGATTTTTACCGTGTTTCGGACAGCTTGCTTCCAATTAGGTACCGCAATCTCGTTAGCGCGAAACGAACCGCGACTTAATTTTAATCTCAAACAACGGCTAAACGTCGTTGTTCGTCCTTTCTGTTTGCCCGACGTTTCGTCCTCCTTGTAATTCAGCGCCGTTCCCGCCGGTAATATTCAAGGCGTGGTAAAACTTTCATGATTACGATACAGCGACGCTTTTCGCCTTATTAGAGCGTCGGCGGCGATCTTTTCGCCCCGCGATAAGGCTCGTAGGCGACGCAAAGAGAGAAGCGAGAGGAGGGTGGAAAAAGGAGAGGTCGGCGACGATGTTACGAAGCCACAAGTTTAAACTATTTCTACTCTGGCGGATTTGCATTTGCACGTAGAGGAATCCTGGCAGGGCGATATGCTCGACAAGAGTAATCTGGATGCATCGGCAAGGCGTGATGCGCGCGACAGCGAGGTGTGCTGCGAGCGCGTCGCGTCGCGTCGCGGCGCAGGCGTCGAAACCCAGTAACGTTCGTCAGTCTTCGGGCGAACTTGAAACGCGTGGCTTCGCGTTCACCTCTATTCTCATCTATCGCCTTCTCTCATTTACTATTTGCCGCCGATAGATCGCAAACGCGATCCTCGTCTCGCGCCAAAAACCAGCATCATCGAAGCTTCCTATTCTTTTCACCCCTTCGCGAATCGTGCACCCCGTTTTTCACCACCGCGCCTCTTCCACTGGCCCTGCCTCGACGAATGTTTCTTCCCGTTCGTGCTTGCATCCGCAACGTTGGATCCCTGTTTTTCCCACCGACACGAATTCGTACGTACACGTACAACGTACCTGGACGCGTGAATTTCGGTGACATCGCGTCGGACCGTGGTTACAAACACCCCTCCTCTGTCGAAACCATGTTCCGTGTCGCTATAATTTACCTGCTATTCCCGCAGCAACGAGGACAAGCGTTTCTATCATCTTTTTCTTTCATAGTTTTAGAGGGAATTGCAAATACGGGATAACTAATCCGTGGCTGATATCGGATTTCAACTTTATAGATGGATTTTACATATCTATCCTTTCAACCTCGATCGAGAACAATGTCTGTGGGTCGGAAGAATTTCATTTCCCATTGCAATTCCATTGCTTTCACGATCCATTTGCCGCTTCCGATCCATCGACCAGTCGTCGCGATAGAAAATGTATGCACCAAAGTGCCGTGCGAAATGGTAGCATTTACAACGTTCGTATTTCGCGCTTTCCTACCAAATCGTGATCCGAATAAAAGCACGTAATTGAACGAGTGATTTCGCCCTTTCAAATCACTGATTACACGAAAATACGTTTCCCTATTGATTATGAATGCCCCTCTTGCTAGCGTTTCTCAGTCTTAATTAAAAATTAATTGTACCGCTTTGAGCTGAAATTTACTCGACGATAATTATCTTAAAATTGCTTCTTCCTTTATCCAGCGAGAAGAACGCTATTCGTTCGAGGTGTATATTTAGAAAATCATCTTCCTTCCTCTTTATCTTTCCTATTTTCATTTTTAGCATCGCTAGTATAATCGCATCAACGTTGAACTCCCGTTCCGATACGTCGGTGAATGGACCACGAATGAGAAGAGAATTTCGTTCCCAGTCGAAACGCTAACACGATAATGGAGCCGTGAAAAAAAGTTTCACGGAGTACTGTCTGTGCAACGCGCGAAACACGCAGAATGGAGTAACGCGAGGAGAAAACGATGCCCGTTCGAAGCAGAGCTCACGATTTCGTCGAGCGATAAGCGGTAAGAGATCCCATAGCTCAACATTCATTTACATATTCTGCCGCGACGCGATAACCTGTATTCTTAGACGTTACATCTTGCCATCTCCTCGTCAAGCCGTCGCAACCTAAATTCGAGGGCGTCGCGGCGCGGATCGACTGTAAGTTCGCTCGCGGGAAACGGGAAAAAGGTCACCGCTGCTCTTTGGCTGGCTACACGATTCCCCAGAGGTCTTTCTTTCATTTTCCCCGAGAATATTAATATTTCTCGGCGATAATTAGAAAATCATTTTCCCTCGTATTCGAGTCGCGCTATCGGTGCTCTTGTAACCATTCAACTATCTCGTTCGAGCATTACGATACTGTAATTACACGACAGAGGGGAGGGCAAACTTTGCGCCACAAATTACAAAGCTGCAGAAGCACACGACGCAACTCCGCGTTACCATAACTGCACTCCAGAGATAATGACTTAAAACATTCGCAACAATTCCCTGGTAAACTGTACGCAACGTGTAATAAACGGAACTCGCTCTGCTGATTGTTTATAATCCGAGCCGTTTATTTAATGCTTAATTACGAAGCACTTTAAAGTATTACTTTCAATCTGATCGGATCAACTAACTTTGCTACCCAATCTTGAGCTGTTAAATGAAATTTACAGAAGCAATAATTTTCCTCAAATATTTCCTTTTACTCATTCCTGCCTCATCCAAATCTTCATCTTTTACTAGTCATCAATTTCCACCTTCCAAACTCTCCTTTCTTTTCCTCTATACAGTCGTAACCCAAAGTTCGCCTTCTGAAATCCTTAAATAACCCGATTTTCCCGTGCTCGAGTTAGTTTTGCAACCATTCAGTTCATAATAAAGTTTCGGTTTTCCACGAAACGGGGATCCTCAATTGAATGTATTTAAGTGATAGCCCATTTCCAGTATACAATATCGAGGTATCGTAGCAAACTGGGCATCAGAGTTTCATTAATCCGAATACGAGCAGAGGTAATTCGTAACCGCGGCGAGGGTGAACGATGCGTTTGAAAATTGTTCGAGGCGACAAGTTCTTAATGGAAGTTCGGTAATGAGATAACGTGAAAAATCACGCTCGCCTACGCGACACTCCCCCTTTAATTCCCCGGCTACAATAAATTATCTCGGAACTTTCTCCCAGACACGCGATACGTACGATGTAATTTAGTTTAACGACTAACGCGACGCTTCTACCACGTGATCCCACGTTTCGATCATTTTCATCATGGAAAGTTGGTCGGCATTTAAATATTCCATTTAACGCGGCTATCTCACGATTTCTCCGACTTCGCTCGCCTCTCAGGGAAAAAAAACGGAGCCAGGGTGCTCTCGACGCACCCGTTCAGCCCCTTGGCTTTGTTTCTTCTCCACTCAAGGAGGAGAAAAAAACAGGCCGATTCCCCTGTAATCGCGCGACGCGAAACGTCCGTCATTTTCATCCCTCGCGCGCTGAATTTCTCCGGGAAAACACGGATCCGAGACTCGACTGAAGAAGGAAAACAAAACCGAGGGTAATTCGCGGAATTCCGAGAATCTTTGTCAACGCTGTGTTTTTCTTTTTATCGACCCTGTCTACTTATGAATGTATTTCCAATCCGGCGCGATAAAAATTCCGATACGGCCGGTGTCTCGTAGCTGTCGTAAATCACTGTTTTCGAATTCTATCGGCGCGAAACGAAGGTAAACGTTTCGCCGGTTTGTACGAAAGAAAGGAACACGTTAACACGTTGCAAGTGCATCGCGAGATAAATGATTCTCCGTAGCGTGAAAAACAAGCTGGAAATAAATCACGGATCCAGGTTGTAAACGACAACGGGTGATCGACTCCCCTCGGAGAATAAGATATCGGTAAGATAACATCCAGTTGAAACGTCCGATCGGATAGTTTTCGATTATTGTATCGCGTGACCCTTCGATCTTCTAAACGACGTGTATTCGTTCCTTCCGATCGTTTTCTCGCAAATCGATTTCGAACCCTATTTATTCGCCTTTGATGGAAAAAAAAACCCGTGAAACGAAGGATTTTCTCGATAGAGAAAAAGAGGAATAAACGAGTTAATTAACGATCCGTATAAAATAAAATTATGAAGGAAGAAGATAAAAGGGGAGGAAGGTGGAAAAATGGCTGCAAAAGGAGGATATAATGTATGTACGCGAGGCGAATAAAAAACAAAATGGGACGAGTCGCGTTCGTGACTTCGTTGACGCCTCCGTTTCGTTCGAATCGGCTAGACTAGGCGGAACTCGAAAGAACGAGGGAATAACAGACGCGGGGTGAGCTCGAAGGAAGTGGATATTTCGCCCGGAGAGAATTTGAATAAAAGCAGCAGAGATGGTAGTTTCCTGCTCTTTCTCTCAGCCTCTCTTTTCCGCGCCTACTCCTCTCCGCCCCTTCGTTTCCTGTCGTCCTTTCAACCCTTTGCGCTCGAGAAGAAATGCGAGTTCCGCGTATGGAAAGTCGTAAAAAGCCGCGGCCCTGCGTCGCGACACCGAGCGACGCGACGTCCCGACAGCTGCAGTCCGGTTGAAAGTCGCTTTTTTTTTCTCGTCCTCCCGTTTCGAAATTCAACCAACTCCGCGAATCTTCCTCGTCGGGAAATCGGCCACGTTTTCCAACTTCCGATCGACTGTTTTCCGATTCGCGGATCAGCGTTAAACGTCGAAGCAGCGAAATCTTTTGTTCCACTTTCGAAATCCCGGTGGCGCAACTTTTCGAGAGACAGATTTCGAGTTTTATTCCGCGAGCTTGCGGTCCCGACGCGTCTATCCGAACTCAAAAATAGGATTCCGACTATTAGGTTCGTAAGATCCCTCCGTTGAGAGCTCGAGGATAAAAGAGTTTCTTTATATTTTCTATTTTCCACCGCAGTCAACTGCTGTACTCGCGTAAAGAAAGCGTGCGTAGCAAACATTCTCCTCGACTTACCGAGCAACATAGTCTCGACTAGACGTTCCCACAAAGTCGGTTATCGTTTTCCCGGGATACCATCGCCTTCGTTTATCCGATATCCAACTGTAGAATATTCTGTTTCCCTCTTTCGACGTTATTCTTCACCTTGCATTCTTCATTTCGGGCGCCGTTCTTTTATTATACACGAGTCTTACAAGAGCAATCACACTTGATATAATAAAAATTTCAGTACGCTTCATTTGTAAAACAAGACGCAGGTATTTTCAGCGCAACCAAACGGCGGAGGAGGAAAATTGATTAAATTTCTAATTAACCGCTATTTCGTGTATCGATCTTCGGACTAATTCGGTCCGTGACAATTGCCGTGGACAGATCGGACAAAGACTTTTGGATATCGTACGTTTGTGAATCTCTCTGGTGACGATAGCAGAAGCTGCGAGCCTCGCAATCGCCAGCAGCCGCACAGTTATCATCTCCTCCGAAGGATTCCTTGTCCAATATCCAAGCAGAATATTCCGTTTCCTTGGATTTTCTACCAGCCGTACTCTACACCCGATTTACCTCGAGCACCGTTCCGCTCACCCTCTCGATGACCACGTACGCGAGGAGCTCGTATCCTGCACGCGGTCCGGATTGTCCTCCAACCTGTCCGCTGCACCAGTCGTTCCGGCCAAGAGACTCGCGAAAAAATTGCTGCATTTCTCCACAAATCTCGCGATACGGGTAAACGGGCCCCTCGTTCTAACCAGCTTTCGAGCGGAAAATTGATTTTATCGAAACGTTACACGCGTTCTCCTCCTCCTTCGTTCTTCCGGATAGACTAAAGCTTTCGAATGTTCCCGGAAACTCTTCGCGATTGAAGGCATTAAAAAGATTGACCAAAGGATATTAAAGGATCTTCAGCGACGTATCAAGCCACCGAATCTACAGGCATCCCTCGGTTCGGGAAGTCACGCGGTTGGCGTACGCAAAGTTGCACAAGGCTCGTTTCGACCCCGATTATCGTAAATAGCATCCGCAATGGAAATCGGTGTTTCGATGGGCAGTCAGGGCATAATACGAGCGCGATAGCGGGGCGAAGCATCGATAAAAGCTGCGTCGACCTTACTCTGGGTGATTTCCCTTTGAGATAACGCGCGTATCGCGGATGAATCGACTCTATTCAAGAGAATTTATATAAAATACACGTTTCAGGATAAAGAATTATAGAATTCCAATAAACAAGAGCGACGATGCGAAAAAAGAGGCAGCATCGGAAGAGTACAATCAAGAGGGGAAAAAACAACAGACTTTAAAAGGTTTGATAAACCGTGCGAAAGCTCGACCGTCGGCTTCGTTTATCGAGAGCAAATGCAACTGTATATCCGTCACCGACAAGAATTTCAACGCGGAAACGCGAGCAGCTAATTCGAACGAGAACTCGGTAGGTGGGTTCGATCGATCGATCGTTCGAAAACACAGTCTCGAATCTAGAAGGTGCAATTTCCATTGAAACTCCACGGCCGCGGAGGAGCGAGTTAACAGGAACGCCATTAGCATAGTTTGTGGACTAGGTTCGGTTAATTTCGCGGCTGGCAGCCAGCTTTTGTTCCTTCTATCGCTTCGAAACGTCAATCCCTCTTCGATTCCTACCGATTCCGATAGTCTTCGTTCGGCGAGAAACGCGAACCAGTCGATTTCGTATACGCGACACGCGTCTAATAAAATATCTATCAATTTCTCTTCTCTTTTCTATCGTTTTATCGCGCGAAAGAAATTCAGTCGAACGTGCAGTGACAATATAGAATCGTGCGCTTACGTTAGTAGCTTAGGGGAAGTAACAGTTACGCGTTATCAGGAAGCTTATCGTCCTGTCGCGTTATTGTCCAGCCGTAAAAGACACGGTTACTCGAAAAATGCGATACTAGTTAAATAAAACGACTCGACATATCGCTGTGTATTTGTTCGAGCTTTTTACAGATCATTTTTCCTCTTTCTACGGTTTTAACTTTCTATTGCATGAATTTTTATGACGAGTTAAAAAAATATATATGGCTATTAGTCTGCTTGAAAATGAGTGATAAAATAAATAATAAAATTTTA